TTTTATTTTTATTTTTTTCGCCAGGGCTGGAGTGCAGGGGTGTGATCTCAGCTCACTGCAGCCTCAACCTCTTGAGCTCAGGTGATCCTCCCACCTCAGTCTCTCGAGTAACTAGGACCACAGGTGTGCGCCACCACATGCAACTAATTTTTGTATTTTTTGTAGGGACAGGGTTTCGCCACATTGCCTAGGCTGGTCTCAAACTCCTGGGCTCAAGTGATCTGCCTTGGCCTCCCAAAGTGCTGAGATTACAAGCGTGAGCCACCGCACCTGGCAATGTTGTTTTTAAACACTAAACCATGCAAAAATGTTTATGGTGGCGTGTGGCCCTTAAGCCTTGAGTTTATGCTCTATCATCTTATCATAAGCAGCCCTGATCTCAGTTCAAGTCCCGTTTGATCTTCCTCCCAGAAGCATGAACTTAGGCAAGGAACAACATCGCTTTGACTCATTTTCCACTCCTGTGGAATGGGGAGAAAACATTTGTTCCCCCTCCTCACAGTCTGTTGAAGAATAAAGGAAGTAGAAATGGCTTCATGAGCTGTAGAGTTGTGTTTTTTTTTTTTTTTTGAATCGGAGTCTTGCTCTGTCGCCCAGGCTGGAGTGCAGTGGCCGGATCTCAGCTCACTGCAAGCTCCGCCTCCCAGGTTTATGCCATTCTCCTGCCTCAGCCTCCCGAGTAGCTGGGACTACAGGCGCCCGCCACCTCGCCCAGCTAGTTTTTTGTATTTTTTAGTAGAGACGGGGTTTCACCGTGTTCACCAGGATGGTCTCCATCTTCTGACCTTGTGATCCGCCCGCCTCGGCCTCCCAAAGTGCTGGGATTACAGGCTTGAGCCACTGCGCCTGGCCACTGTACAGTCTTAAATCTATTACTATGGTCTCAACACCAAAACAGAAACAAGCTAAAAAGAACATCTTGGATTCAGATACTTGCAAGACTCAAATCTGAACCAAAGGAAAATGATTTATCCACTCATACAGTTGCTAGTACATAACAGCAGTGATTATTATTAGCTAAGTCTTGAATATTAATATATCCCAAATAATTAGAAATCATTTCTCCCAAACTCCCAGTCAGTTTGAACACACATTCTATTCTCCTTCCAACACACAGACACATGCACGCACTATAACGCAGAGAAATTGTGTTAATGAGTTTGAGTACTATAAGTAAAAATCCAGGAATATCTTTATGACAGTGTATCAAAATCTCCTTCAGGGAGCAGAGACCATACAAATATTGTTAGTGCAGAATCCAAAGTTTTAGTCAACTGCACAGAGAAATGACTGACAACATTCACTTGAGGTCAAGTCAAAATGAAAACGCTTACAGCTTCTATCCTGAAGGCTGAGTCTTTCCTGCCTGGTTTGAATGCTGTGTTTAGTGTAACGCCAGCAAATGGAATGAAAGGCTTCCCAACCCTCCCTACATTGTTGCAGTTCACACAAAAGTCACAAGCTGGTAATAACCTGTAGACCACATCTGGGCCCAGACCTGTTCTCTGGCCTCCACAGGCTTTAAAACATTTGGAATTGCTTATTAATATTTAAATAGCTGCTGACTGCCCATAAAGATGTCAATTTCCCTGTACTCCTGGAAAACTGGAAGGCAAAACTAGCCCTACCTTCTGCTAAGCATGACCATCTGCAGACAGCAGACTGCCTGCACTCCCTGACATCCGCCAGGGACCCTGCCACTCCTATACCTGTCCCGTTTACTCATCTGCATAGCCTGCCTGGACCCTGTAGACATGCGGCTTTGACACCTTTCACATTTGCTTGGATCCAAATCTATTGCTTCCCTCTTTAACTTCTGCTCATATGACGTTTGTGACTGTGGTAGGATTAATACTGAAAAAAACAATGTTAACTTCTCCAAAGTAGCCCCTTGCTCCAAGAATCGATGATCTTTAAAATCAAAATGTAAATGACATGGGTTGGAATGAATCCTCTGGAGGCATTTCGGTCTCAGGGAACCTGCATTTGAAATCACCCATGGAGGCATGACTTCCTCCCACAGGTAAGACCATATGATGAAGGCAATAGCCCTGGATTAGAAGTCAGAGCACCGGAGCACTAATGCCAGTGCCTACATCCACCAGCCACGTGGCCTGGAGTAAGACCTTAACCTCCAAAGGTCTCCATTTCTTCAGTCATTGAAATGGAGAGGATAGTCCCACTCTCACCAACTCCCACGGTTGTCAGGAGAACCACATAAGGCTAAATGGAAGGCGCCTGGTTCAGTGACACAACTGTTCAATGTCACCCTTTGATTTCCTCAAATTACCTTAAGTCCGATCTGTGATCTAGGTGCCTAGTTTTTCTTGTTTTTGTTTTGAAACAAGTGATGCTATCTTCCAAGGCAATTCCCACCGAAGAGCTCTGAAAATCCTGGAGCAATGAAGCACCTTGGCCTAAGGGTAAAGCTTGCTGAGATGATAACTTTGAGAAGGAGGTGAGAGAGTTAGAGGAGCATTGTACTGAAGCAGACCCTCCGGCGCTCAGGTGCAACAGTCTTGGGGCTAGTCTCCCACTTCCTCTCCTGTTCTCTTGCAGTCCCTTGAATGAAAATGTCAATTAAATCTGACACTGCCATGCTGAGGAGGACCCTCTAATGCTTCCCCTCAAACTTAGGATAAGCAAGTCTTGATCACCTGTGATCACCACCCCAGCTGTCTCTTTATGTCCCTTAGGCACCAGCCACACTGGCTCCTTCCTGATCTTTGAACGCAGGCAGCTAATTTGTGACTCAGGGCCTTTGCATTGCTGACCTCTCTATGGAGAATGCCTTCCCCTGGCTCTTGGTATGGCTGCCTCTTTTAGACTTAAGGTCTTCAGTGATGCAGGGGCTTCCACTGACTACCCCATCTCAAGAAGTCCCTTTGTCAGTGTCTTCTCAAAACCAACAGCTCTGCCTCACCTTCTTTATCATAAAAACTTTCTTTTTCACTGTTCCATATACCAAATCTGAAATTAACTATTGATTATGGATGGTGACTCTCCATTAGATTATAAGCTCTGAGGGGGGAGGAACGTCCCTGCCTGGGAGTCCCAGATATGTCTGTCATCTAGCACAGCGCTTGGCCTACACTAGATGCTCCATAAACATTTACTGAGTAAACAAAGAATGGATGGACAGATGAATGAGAGAGAAAAACCTTACAATCTTTGCTACTTACTAGATAGGTAGTCTTGGACACCTTAGTAACCTTTCAAATTCTCAGTTTCCAAACAGCAAATGAGAATAAAATACCCTGTCAGGCAGCTGTTTTGGGATCTAAATGAAATCATGTATTTTAGGTCTCAGTGGAAAGCCGGTACACAGTAGGTCCTCAGAAAGAGTAGCTTTTAGAAAGACCTCATTGAATCTGGCTTGTCTCCCTCGTAATGATGAAATCTGAGATTTCAGCACTGCACTGGTGGCCTGTGAATGTTTGCTCATATAGCAAGAGGGAGAAGAGGTTTCATGTCCAAATAGATGTGCAGAGCTTTGGTTTAAATAAGTTTAATCAGGTTCTTTTATTGCAGGACATCTCAGAGCCCTGAAATTATTGATTTGTTTTCTGACTCTCCATGAGAATTTAACATGTAGCATTTCCCCTAAACTCGTTTGACCACAGTACTTTTCTTAGGGGGAAGGTGCGATCTACCAGAGTTAGCTTTCCAAGGAACATAATTTGGGAAATGCTACTGATGTAACTGCTGTTATTTTATCCAATGCATTCCTAAAAGAATCCAGTGAAGAGTGTTCAACATAAACTTGTGGATTGTTTCTGTAAGTTTCTTCCATAATTTTCTTTCTTTCTTTTTTTTCTTTTTTCTTTTTTTTACCGAGACAGAGTTTCACTCTTGTCACCCAGTCTGGAGTACAGTGGCATGATCTTGGCTCACTGCAACCTCTGCTTCCTGGGTTCAAGCAATTCTCCCACCTCAGCCTTCCGAGTAGCTGGAATTACAGATGTCCGCCACTGCACCCGGCTAATTTTGGTATTTTTAGTAGAGGTGGGGTTTCACCACGTTGGCCAGGCTGGTCTTGAACTCCTGACCTCAGGTGATCCACCCACCTCGACCTCCCAAAGGGCTGTGATTACAGGCATGAGCCACCACGCCCAGCCAGTTTTCATTATAAACCTACTTCCAATGTTGATTTTGTATCTGTATAATCATAGAAGAGAATTTCTATGAAAATTTTAAAACGAAGTGGGAGAAGCAGTGAAGGTAGATTATGTATGTCTTGGATGGCACGTGTCAAAACCAGCACCTCCCTTTCCCCACCAAAAACGGTAATAAAATGGTAATTCCCAAATTAACCAGCAGGTGGCTCTCGAAGACTAAATTTGAGAAAAAGACCATTATTCTCAAACCGATTTGGCAAATTCCTCCCTAAGGGTCTGTATGATTTCCAACCATAACCTCCAGATTTGCCAGGAAAAAAAAAAAAAAAAAAAAAGCCTGAAATTCATCAATGTAGGTGAATTGGCCAGAGGAATCACAATCCATAATCACCAGCAAAACAAGAAGAAATTAAAGGCTCTGTAACTTCATCATATGGCACACTGGGCCACCAAGTCATTAACTTTACCCAATCTTATTTTCTTTTTCTAAGGGGCATGAAAAGGAGGGGAGAGGGAAGGTAGGCAGTATAGGTAGAAGAATAAAATTTTTTTAAAAAAATTTACTTGTTGTTTAAATAGCCACTTGTAATAAGCAAGATAATTTTAGGTACTCTGTGAACATATTTTAAATCTTCAATACTTATTATTTATGTTATTGTCTATTAAAAAGCATAACTAGCTGGGTGCAGTGGCTGATACCTATAATTCCAGCACTTTGGGAGGCCGAGGCAGGAAGATTGCTTGAGCTCAGAAGTTTGAGACCAGTCTGTGCAACACAGTAAGACCCCCTCTCTACTAAAAACAAAAAACAATAAATTAACTGGGCTTGGTGGCACACACCTGTAGTCCCAGCTATTCGGTAGGCTGAGGCAGGAGGATCACTGGTGCCCAGGAGGTTGAGACTGCAGTGAGCCATGATCGCACCGCTGCACTCCAGCCTAGACGAAGAGCCAGATCCTGTCACAACAACAAAGAAAGTATAACCAGTGGATATAGCAGTATTAAGGTAGTAAAATATGCTTTTTTTAAAAAAAAAAAAAAGGTGTATTCAAATAGAAGAGAGTAAAATTGAGTAACATTCTGGTATGTATATAACAAAAACTGTGATAACTCAAATATTGCAAAAAATTTTTGAAGTTTAAAGGGGATCAGTGGCAATTGTTGCAACCCGATCTAACCCATTCTCTCTGCAGAGATATCTTGGAAGGTAAGCCTATTTGTCAATTATTAATTCAGTCATTTGCTCAGCCACTCACAGAGGCACTCAGGATTTTTTTTTTTTTTTTTTTTTTTCGGCATCTGCTATGTGCCATGCTCTCTGCTAGTGAACAGAGCACAGAGTCATGAAAACTAAAATGTAAATACCCCCAGTGCCTTCTTAACATTATGCATTCTTTCAACAAATAGTAATGGAAGGCATGCAAGGCACCGGGGGATAAAATGATAAAGACAGACAGAGGCGCAGCTCTCCTGCCCTCCTGGACACTATTGCTTCCTAGGAGAGCTGACCATGAGTCAAGTGGTCACATAGATAAATATGAAATGAACACTGGTCATCATCTGCGTCTTATGAGTGCGCATCATCAGAGGTGTCCACGCAATCTACAATGAAGTCTGGAGGGTTTCCTTGGAGTCTGAGGGGCGCTGGAGGTGAGACCTGGAGGTGAGCAGGAGTCAACTAGGATGAGGGATGGGCGCAGCCTACAGGAAAAGCTGCCTGGGGGGAGAAAGGACCAACAGCCAAGACTGAGAAAAAGGCTGTTGTGACCAGGGTTCAGAGCGGGCATGGAGGACTGAGGTTGCAGTCTCCCGTGGTCATTCATTCATTCTTGCATTCATTCATTCAGCAAATTTCTGCATGTAAACTACATATGGTCTAGTGCCTGCTATTTCGAGTTTGGTGATCTTGCACCTCATCATTAAAGAGGTTTTTTTGCAAGTATACTCCACACAGGTTTGTTTGCTTGTTTATAAATTATATGTGCATAAGATATTCTTATGTAATATGAAATGTAAAAAAAAAAAAAAACATGTTTGAAGGGACAGGAGAAGGTTTAAATAGAATTTTTTTCAGACAGAGTTTTGTTCTTGTTGTCCAGGCTGGAGTGCAATGGCATGATTCGGCTCACTGCAACCTATGCCTCCCGGGTTCAAGTGATTCCCCTGACTCAGCTGGGATTACAGGCACATGCCACCGTGCCCAGCTAAATTTTGTATTTGTTTTTAGTAGAGACAGGGCTTCACCACGTTGACTAGGCTGGCCTACAACTCCTGACCTCAGGTGATCTGCCTGCCTCAGCCTCCCAGAGTGCTGGGATTACAGGTGTGAGCCACCGTGCCCAGCCAGTTTAAATAGAATTTGTAATTGTTCACGTTGTCTGCACTATGGGCCATTCTGTCTCATGCTTCAGAGACCACTCCTCTGAAAGAAGAGCTTACTAGGATTTGCCTAAAGTCATTCAGCAAACCTGAAGCCATAGCTTCTGGCCTCAGTCCAGGGCCCCATCCAGTCAAACATTGGCTCCTAGACCTGAGGTCTCAGGAGAATCACCTGGAGGGCTTGTTCAAACACACACGGCCTGGCCCCACCCTCAGAGCTCCTGATTCAGTAGGTGTGGGGAAGGGCACGGAAATTTGCATTTCCAGCAAGACGTCAAGTAATGCTGATGCTGTGATTCATCAGTCCGCTACATCATTTCTTGAAGCCTGGTCCCTGGCCCCTCGCCCAGACCCTGTGTACGGTCTGTTAAAAGTGCAGATTGCTCAGCCACATCCTGTGCCTTAAGATCTAGAGTCTCTGGGGATGAAACCCAAGAATCTGCATTTTAAGTGACTTCCCCCAGGACACTGTGATAAATGCAAATATCTGAGAAGTACGGCTCTACAAAGATTAAGTGCCTCATGTTGTGAGGCCTTGGTGGGGGTCCTACCTTTGGAGGAAGGGCACTGACCAGCTGGCATGCAACAGCTGGGAGTTGAGCTGAGCCCTCTCCCCAGAACTGCCAGGCCTGGCCCACACCCTGGACACAGGCAGCACCACGCTTACCTTGCAGGCGGTAGAGCTGCCCCGTGCTGTGCTGCCGTGTGATGTGCTGCCAGTAGGCGCTGCGAGGCAGGGGCACCATGGTGCTCAGTGAGGCGGCCCGCTCACTCATCTTCATCTGGAGCTGCAGCCAAAGGGAAGAAAGTTGTGTGTCAGGAACACTGGGGCTGGAAGAGGCCTGACTGAGGGAACAGGAGAGCATGGAGTACAAGAACCACAGAGCTGGCCAGGCTGCAAATCAATGAGCATTGACTGACGGCGGTGGGCACCGTGGCCAGCTACTGTTTTTGCTTACTTAGCAGCATCCATTCTTTACCCTGCTTGCAACAGTGCATTGATGACGTTCCTCTGGGGAGCTTCCCTCCAACTCAGCTCAGTCCCTCCAGTCCTGGTGGGGCTGACTCCCCCATTCACTTTAGGGTTGGGCTGGTGAGCCATGCCAGACCAGTCAGAAGGAATTCGTTGAGACATTATTAGGATTTTTGTGGAAGAGAGAATCAGCAGAAGTGAGCTAAAGATTTGTGACTGCTTTGTTCATTGCTCTATCCCCAGAGTCTAGAATATTGCCTTATACAGAGGAGATATACAAGTAACATGTGTTGAATAAATGAACCTTCTTGTGGAGTTGGTAAGAGGTTGGAGATGGGACTGGAGCCTATCTTGGAACTACAAAGGGACCAGGTGACAGTGAGTAGACACCGTTCAGAAGAAGACAGCCAAGAAAAGGAGACAAATCTTGACAAGCTCCACTGAGACCTTGGATCCCACTGAATCCAGAGGCTGGCCCCAGACTTTTCAATTGTATTAGCCATTTCATTCTTTTCAGTTTTGGTTTTTTGTTTGTTTGTTTGTTTGTTGTTTGTCAGTTTGTTTGTTTTTGAGACAGAGTCTTGCTCTGTCACCAAGGCTGGAGTGCGGTGGCGCAATCTCAGCTCACTGCAACCTCCGCCTCTGGGCTCAAACAATTCTCCTGCCTCAGTCTCCCGTGTAGCTGGAACTACAGGCGCACGCCACCACGCCTGGCTATTTTTGTTTTTTGTTTTTAGTAGAGATGGGGTTTCTCCATGTTGGCCGGGCTGGTTTCAAACTCCTGACCACCCGCCTTAGCCCCCTAGAATGCTGGGATTACAGGTGTGAGCCACCACAACTGGCCTAATTCTTGTCAGTTTAAACTGGCTTGTGTTGGGTGTTCTAGCATCAGAAAGAGAGGAAAAAAAGTCTGCTTGAACAAGTAACTTTTCTTGACAAATTATTGCTCCAGACATTGAGGGAGGAAAAAAGATGAAATGGCTTTCGGCAGCAGACAACTCTAAAGACACAGTTCTAGTCCCCTAGAATATCAGAGAGCAGTCAATGGCCTGACCAACCACATCGGGGAAATAATTGTACAAAAGAAGGAAAGTTTCAGAGAGAAAAGAGCCTGTAGGATGAGTAGAATAAAAGGAAAGGTGAATGGGGTCAACATATGCAAGAAGAATGGGGGTGCAAGTGGAAGCAGCCCTCCAGGCACCCCCGTATCTGAGCCCTGGTCTTAGACACAATCATGACACAGGTTGATTATGCCATTTTGTAAGAAGTGACTATTTGCAAAGCTGGATTTCCTGGATACTTGAATATCAAATAATCCATTCCCATCTTTAAAAAAATTCACCCACAAAGACTTACGCAAGATGTTCATTGGGAGGTAATTGGACATCGGCGAAAGCTGACGGCTATTTAAGTATCCCCTCATTCAAGGCCTGGTTATCTAAAAGTAGGCACAATGTAATACTTGGCAAAGATGGAAGATTTACATGAATTGGGAATGAAACATTTATATATTGTACCACAAAGGAAACACAGGGGGTTACAGACCTGGTGCAATGTCATTTTAGTTACTCATATGAAAATTGTTGGCATTAAACATCTGTCCATTTGGGAAGTATGAGAGTTTGATGAGATGATACGTACTTAGCCTTACCTAGCAACAAATAGGTAAAAAGGAAAAATGAAGACGATGATGATGATGGTGATTAGAAATTGCAATGAATATTTTAGGATTTTTTAAAAAATATTTTAAAAATCTCTTAAAGAAAAAAGTCTCCACAGTACACATCTCATCAGCATGGTAGTTTCAGGCATAATTCACTCAGTAAAGCCAAAATAATAGGAGGTTTCCTATGTTGAAGATCAAAACTCCTTGTAGCTGATAAGATTCAACTTGAAATAAAGATTATATACTCACTCAAAATATAATTTAATTTATAGTCATTGAATTTACATTTGCTGAATCGAATTCCCTGTCCCTGTCATAATTCCACAATTACCAAAACATGTCCCCAAGTGGAATCATAAAGCATTAGGTTCCATGAGGACAACTTTTCCTAAAAATAAACTCTTAGATTAAAAGGTCCAAAACCTAAGTACTAAGCTAGTAGAAAAATTCTGCAGCTGTTTCCTGTTTTTAATTTTTAAAATGTATTTTTAATGGACAAATAATAAGTATGCATATTTATAGGGTACAATGTGATGTTTTGATCTATGTATATACAATAAAAAGATTCACTCGAGCTAATTAACATATCCCTCACCTCATCAACTTCTCTTAGTGGTTATTTCTGTATACACGAAAGTCTAAAAAATCCAAAATGATTTACCAGTGACTCTTAGTAACATTCTATTTCATGTGCATGGAATTCAAAAAATAAAAGAAGGAAAAGAACTCAATTTAGAGGTACTGGTTATTTGATTTTCTTAATATAAAGAGATTCTATTTAACAGAAAATTTATATAAAGAAAACATTTGTGGAATACTAGTCACTTCAAATTATTCACTGCTTCACTGCAAATATATTTAGGCAGCCCAGCATGATTTGACTGTATTTTTAGAAAGCTGATTTGGGATCAAGAGTGAAATGACAGCAATGCCACGTTTTGAAGAGGAGAACAGTACAAAGCCTGGCTCTCTAGTTCTTTCTCAACCCCCTGGAAAAATATCTAATTTTATGAAAGAAGCATCTTAATTGTCTTTGGACAAAAAGAAAAGCCTTTTAACAATGCAGAAATGTCTGCATAATTGTGTAAGGGAGAAAAGGCTTAGGAAGTCGTTTGGCGAGAATCCAGCAGGCAGATTTCCGCTCCCTCTTCTGTGACGCTCCAAGTCCCTCTATCCTTGATATCAACCACCAGTGGAGGGCTGCAAGTGGCACTGATGTACCACCCTGGTGGAAATAGCAGTTAGCACTCATTTTTGGAGGAGTTAAAATTGGGTTACCTGGAGGGCCGCAGGTCCTCAAATAACGTCAATTCACTCAGCTTTGTTTCATTACGACTTTGATGTGAACGTAAAAATCTCTTCCTGGCAGGGTCACTGTCTGTGTAGCTTTGGCATGTTCTCCCCATGCCTGCTTGGGTTTTCTCTGGGTCCTCTGCTTTCCTTTCATAGCCCAAAACTGCCTGTTGGCTTCATTGGTGTGTCTAAATGGTCCCTGTCTCAGTGGGTGTGGGTATGGGTGAGGGTGTCCTGGGATGGGAGGGCATCCTGTCCAGGCTGGGTCCCATTTGGCACTTAGAGCCGCAGAGATGGGCTCTGGCCACCCGTGATCCTGAATTGGAATCACTGGGTAAATAATCATTTTGTT